TTTGCTCTCAGGAGCTTTTGTTCCCTGCAAGCTCTCGGTACAGCTTTGGAGGACGAGAGTGAAAATGGTGGCCTCCCAATCTCCACCCAGAGGAGCTGAGAACTCGGGGTCTTGCTCCTCACTGTGCCCCCAGAGAAAAGCAGTCACTCCCGTCTCCCCGGTCTCCGGGCGCACTCCGTGCTCACCCGGCCTGTGACCGAGCATTTCTGTCTGGGACCTGACCCCGTGTGGAGTCTCCAAACCCAGCAGATCCCTGCGGTGCGCTCCTGCGCCGCTCCTCCCGGGGGAGGAAGGGGAGTCTCCCCGGATCTGCTGCTTGTTGGGTCCCTGCTGGAGGAGCAGTGGCCCGACTGGGCCGCGGATCACAGTTTATGGCCACCCCGAGCTGAGAGCCCGCGCCTGGGCTCCGTCTCTGCAGCCGGCTTCCCTGCTCCGATACCCGGGAGCTCTGCCTCACTCAGGCACCCCTGGTCTTTCTGTGACCCCGAGGGTCCTGAGACCACACTGTCCCGCGAGGGTTCCACCCCCCGCTTAGCCACTGGAGCGACATCCCTCAGCGGAGCCGACTTCTAAAAGTTCCGATTTTGTGCTCCGCGGCTCTAGCACTTGCCAGAAGCGGCCGACGGAGGCCCCCTCCCCCGCCGTCTATCCTCCCGAATATCGCCTCGGATTCACTTCTCCGCATGTCCTACCTTCCAGAAAGTGGTCGCTTTTCTGTTCAGAGTGTTGTTACTATTCTTTTCTTTGATCTCCTGTTGAGTTCGTAGGTGTTCAGAATGGTTTGATCCCTATTCAGCTGAATTCCTGAGACCAGACAAAATCCAGGTCTCCTACTCCTCCGCCATCTTTGCATCCGAATAATTCCTATTCTTAACTTAGAGGGGTCTTTTAGGAAATATTTCTTGTGATGAGGAAACATATTTAAAATTCAAAAATTCTAGCTCACTTCAGTTTCTTTTTCTTTTGTTAAATTCAATAACAAGTAAATTTTATACTTTTTATTTTAAAATAGCATAATCCCATTTTTATAAAAATACTTAATGCTTATCAGTCATATCTGTGCATTGAAGAAGACTGCAGTGTTGTTCATCTATAGTGACGAAGGTCTCTTCTGGGTGATAGGATTTGGGATAGATTTTAAACTTTCATCTTTGTATTTTTCTTTAGTGTTTGAAGTACTTAACAATATTTCATTAATTTATTTACCAATAGTGATTTTTCTTGAAAAAATAAGGACAAGATGCAAATACGCTATGATGTTGACAGTATTTAATTCTAATATGAATGGTTGTTATTTTTCCTTTTTGTTCTTTTCTCTGTTTAAAAAGTTTTGAAAACAGGTTGACTGTTGCTCTTGCTCCATGAAGATCACACACTTCAGTTATTGTTCTACATGGTAACCAAGCATAACCACTAGTAATTAAGATGTCTTATTAAGTGAAATAAAATATTTTGTTTTCTTTTATCTCGCTCCTGCTTGCCTCAAATCAGTTTCCTTAGTTCCATGGTAATAGCCACCATTTGTTAGTTGTGGGGCACCGACTGAAGTGTCTTGAGGTAAGCTGAAGGTAAATGAGGGTCTTATTACAAGTGGGCTCAGTGTTCTTAAAATAAGGAGGCAGGATGATCTGCCAAGTTGCGAGCTTCTGTTGTATTGATTATCTGTTATCAAGAAGAAGCACTGACAAAGCCTCTTTTAAATTTCATTTATTTTAAAATTCATAAATGACATAAATGATATGAATGGGAATGCAGAAGCCATAACCTTCTTTGTAATTGTTTCCATTTGAACATTTCAGGGTGCAAGTCAGAGACAGAGAAATCAAAGTTAACATCTTTGATATGGCTGGCCATCCCTTCTTCTATGAGGTAAGAAAGCCTTTTTGAGAAAACCTGTATCCAGTATTGTCAGTGGATTAGGAAAAGATCCTGAGTTATCTGAAACAACCAGTTTGCAAATCATGTATAAAATTAGGTGAATTTAGCTGGTGGTTGTGGCTTCCTTTCTGAGCCTTAACTGAATGGAAACCTGTTGGTCTTTTGTTCCCTCCCCTTAAATAGAGGTAGGAAATTTAATTGCTAATGTTCCAAACACTTAGATAAGACATTTTAACTTTCAAAGGACTATTTGGTTTATAATTTATACCTTCCCAATCAATGGCCATCATTCATTCACCACATACCAGTGTGCCAGTTTCTATTGAACAGTGGTAACACACAGTCCCTGTCCTCGTGGAACACAAATCTGTCAGAGAAGACAGATGTTAAACAAATGACAGAATGCTTGGGAGCATTGAATATCTAGCCTAGCTTATCTGGGACGACAGGAAGTCTTGTTGAAGGAAGCAACGTTTAAGCATTGATGGATTTGATGGATAAGAAGAATTACGTAGGTTGGTGGGAATCCAGGGATGATGTGATACACAGGATAGTTTTGAGTGGTACAGACTATAATAGTTTGGAGAATGAATGTCTCTAATGATGGGGCCACACTGCCTCACAAGTTCATTCGCTTTACCATTAAAAACTCTAGATTAACAACTCCCTTTTGAAGGCTGCCTTCCTTTGACTTTCACTATTGATCTTGGCCTTGTTTTTGGAACAACATAGACTGAGTCTGCGCTTTTACAACAGAACCTTTCTAATATTTGTTAATCCGCTCCTTTTCAGGTAAAATATCTTCTAGTCCTGCCCCAGCTAGGCTTCTTAAGATCCTTTGTGGATAATCTCTAGTTAGCTGATAGGGAGCTGAAAACTGAACACAACATTCCAGATACTGTCTAGTGAAAAACACTGAGTGTTCCTTTACTTTCTATCATTAGACACTAGACAACTTATCAATGCAAGCTGAAATTACAATAGCTTTTTTTCCCAGCAGCTCAAAAAGATAGAAGTGTAATTAATAGAAGCTCCTTGAGTTCACCACTTCTGAAGTAACTTTTCTCTGAAGAGCTTTGATTTTTCCTTTTTTGTCAAATATTTACTTGTCTGTAGCTCAAACCCTCCTTTTTGACAAGACCAAAGCCATCTTCTCCCTAAGCCCCAAACGGACCAGAGTATACTTTTGCTCAGCACACACCTGGTGAAGCGCTGATAGCCATTCTCGTGACCCCTGGCTTTCCTCCATCCTTGAGGCCTGTCCTCCATTGAAGCTACTACTGGCATCCGTCCTCTTGCCAGGTTTATCCGAAGGGCCTACTGAGAAAGGACAGTCTGCTTAGCATGTGAGACAGCACTCTCAGAGGACAGTGTCAAAGAGAGGACCTTGAAGGAATGCCGGGCCTGTATCTTAACAGCAGTCTTGCTTCCACTGATGCACACATCATTCTGGGGCTTGCTGGTATGAGTTAGATGGTCTATAGAAAATTCTTGAGGCCCGAGTGATATTAAACTAACAGCTTTCTCTGACCTACAAGCTAGAAAGTTTGCCATTTCTGCTCTAAGAAATAATCCCAATTCCCTTAACATCCTATTTAATTAAATGTTGGATGCTGCAAGACTTCCAGGACTAACACCAGAGAGCTGTTTTGGGAGCCGAGAATAAGACAGCTGTGGGGGACCATTGAGGCTTCTCCTTTTTCGTTTTACAGGTGAGAAAACTAAAGCCGGAGGTGCTAAAACCACTTACTCAAGATTACAGAGGTAGCTAGGTGCTGAGCCCGAATCAGTGGAAAGAGAAATCCATGGAGCTTGCCTAAATCTCTTATTTACACGCAAATCTCACTCTGGATAGCATAATTTGCATTTTGAAATTCTTTGGCCTCTACTTACATTCTCTACATCCAGCTCTTCTTGATTTAAAATGTCTCGAATACTTACACCTGCTAGGCCCTGTTGGCGACATAAAGATGGACGCATCAAGATGCATGCCTTCACGTTGCTTGGAGTCTACTGGGGAAGGCAGCTGTGTATGCTACCAGCTATAAACCAGACAGGAAGTGATATGAGCACTACTGGAAGCACAAAGGCTGTGGTATTCCAGGGATATAGAGGTTAGATTCTGTTTGGCAGGGGTTGGGGGTTAGATGATGAGGTGTGGGGCAGGAAGAAACCCATGAAAGGTACAGTGTCATAGCTAAAGTTGGAAGATTAAAGATAAAGAGATGTCTGTTTCCAGATGGAGTTAGAGAGGCACAGGGCAGCTTTGAGGAACAAGAGATTACCCACTTTGAAGGACAGGAGGTAGGAGGAGGGTAAGACTGGGAAGCTGGTGGAGGACTGATTAGAAACGTTCAACACCAGTTAAAAGAATTTGAACTTTAGGGGGTTGGCAGTGGGAAGCACTAAAGAATTTTTGAACCAGGGCTTTAAAAAGATAAGTATGCACTGTGTATAATGTTGCTGGGGAGGTTACTTAGAAAATTCTTGCAGTAGTAGTCAAGAGGTAGTGTGATGTTGGCATGTGGAAATGGAAAGCAAGTGACAGGTGCAGGAAACCTGGCGGAGGTGGCTCCTACAGGATTGTTTGTACCTGCTGAGTGAAAAGGGAGACGAAAGCAGCAAAGGTTAACGCTAGGCTTTCCATCCCCATGACTCAGAGAGCAGTGTGCTCCTTTCATCACCAGAAGTTCAAGGGAAGGAGAAGATTGGGAAGGAATAAGCTGGAGGGTTTCCTGTTGTACATATTGAATTTGAGATTCCAGCAAGACATTCAGCTGGGAGAGTCTAGAGCTAACTAGATATGCAGGTCCGGAAGCACCGATGAAAAGGCTCACCGTGGAGGTTCTCACAGTTGAAACTATGCAGGTGGTTATGTTGTCTGAGTTGGAGGGAACGATTGAAAAAGAACAGCTGAGGGCCTGGGACAGGATTTGGGGAATTACAGCGGCCAGCTGGAGTGGGAGTAATGGGGAGAGGAGGAGTTGGTGAAAGACCAGACAAGAACCTGGAGAAAGTGGTGTATGGGAGCCAAGGCAGCAAGAGTTTCAGGAAAGAAGGGAGGGAGAGGCCCGTTTTCACGACTGCAGGTGGGCTGAGGACCTTGGGGACTGAGGGGAGAAGACCCCTGCTGTTCATCACTTTAATTCTTTCTGATTTTGTTGGTTTCAATTTAGGAGATAGCTGCTTCTGTTTCTTCTATTTTCATGCCTGATGTGTGTAAGATGTCTTCATTTCTTACTACAGACTGGCATGGGTGTGTACATATTGGAATTCTATGAGACGAATGAGTAATATGTGGCCTCTGTCAAGATTCTTACTGGAATTTTGGCCTGAAACCCCCAGTCTGTCAGTGTTACTCCACACCCACTCGACCTATCATTCCTCCACCACTTTCATATGCCCTGTACTTCATGCTGCCTCTTCCGAGAATTACAGATATGCCCCAGAAGTGAGTTGCCATTTCTAGCAAAAATATCAGAGGAGGACCAATCAGAGGAATGTGAGAAAGGAAGGCAGAAGGTGCAAATACACACTGTTTTGCAAGCACCATTTAGGTGCTTTGCCTTCATTATCTCCTGTAATCCTCATAATCACCCCGTGAAGTAAGTAGTGCTATCCCCATTTTACAGATGAGGACACTGAGACGCAGAGAGGTTAAGTGACTTGCCCAAGATCACACAACTAGTAAGTAAGTGTGAACCCAGATCTGACTCCAGAGCCATTACAGCACACTGGGAGGCTCTGAGTTCAGAGTTCTGAAGTTGGTGTGCAGACCCAAGAGTCAGGGAAGCTCTGCCTAGCATCCTGGGGAAGCCAGCTTTGGGCTGTGGTACATAAATGGCTGTAGCTCTTGCTGATGCTTGTGTCATTTTTGCCTTAAGTTCTTCTGAATTGTTCACTCACCCTCTGGTTCTTCCTGAGAAGAGCTTCACTTTGTAGAATGTGTGTTATTTTAAGGTCTACTAACGAGAATTAAAGATTGATTGCCTCTAGGGGGTAGAGCTGGAGGTGAGAAGGGGTGGGGCAGGAAGCTGTTACTTACATCACAAGACCTTGTACTAGTAGGGTTTTTTTTATCATATTACTTTGATTTTATGAAAAGTCTTCTAAAGACCAGTAGATATTGAGATACAATAGCAAATACTATGCATACACAAAAGAATGCACTTTGTTATGTTAATGACTGTGAGATATATTATAAAATCACAAAACCTACAATTTGCACATCTGTTCTTTTATGTGAAGGTTCGTAATGAGTTTTACAAGGATACACAGGGTGTAATACTGGTCTATGATGTTGGGCAGAAAGATTCCTTTGATGCCCTTGATGCGTGGCTGGCAGAGATGAAACAAGATCTTGGACCTCACGGAAACATGGAAAATATTGTATTTGCAGTGTGTGCTAACAAGGTAACTGCTTTGGAAATGGTATGCTCAACTTTCCGGATTCATTACGGGAAGAGTGCAGCTCTGAGTTTTGGGGAACAAATGAAAAGAAGTCCTTATTCTATACTATAGGAATCAACAGCTTTTCAAAACATACATCCCTAAAACAAAAAATAAAAACACAAATTCCCGTATGTCAGGATTTTATCCATTTTTTTTTTTCTGGTGCTGTATGTGGGGAAGGATATTGGTGACTGAGCAGGAGAGGGGGATCCTAATAATTACACTCTGACCTGATTAGAGAAGGGACAATCATTAGGTGCAGCCTGGATTATGGAAAGGTATGAAAAGTAGACTATGGCCCCTTGAGTGTGGGAGATATCATGAAGCCAACTTTCACAGAGGTGAGGAGCAGTTTTCTTAAAGGATAAAGTGGGAAGTGTGGGAGCAGACGCTTGTCATTTTGCCACAGAAAATCAGTCTATGTTCAATATTGGCAAATTTTTTTTGTCTCTTTTGGTCCTCGTAATTGTATATACTAGTGCTGGCGTTCATTTAAGAGTAGTTTTTGCCTCAGTAAAGGATTGATGAAAACCTCACAGGGCCTTTACCTAGTGGGTCAAGGTTGGGGTCTTCTCTCTGCCCCCCAACTTTCTATTTCAGATTGACTGTACCAAGCACCGCTGTGTAGATGAAAGTGAAGGGCGTCTGTGGGCCGAAAGCAAGGGGTTCCTGTACTTTGAAACTTCAGCACAAACTGGAGAAGGAATCAATGAGATGTTCCAGGTAAACTAGCATTGTTTTGTTTGTTCCAAGGCTGACCATGCCAAATTTTAGTTTAAGTTATGAGAAGCAAAAATGTAATAGGAATTTCTAATTAGAATAAGCTCATTCTTTTCAGAAGCTGGTAAGAAAAAGATTAAGAGAGAGAGTGTGTGTGTGGTATCTGCCTGCTGTGTACTTGAGACCAGACCTGGCTGATCGTCAGAATTACTTTGGGAAATTCTTCAAAATACAGATTTCTGGGCTCCAGACCTACCGGAAGCTCCGTGCTGTGATAGAGCTCAGGAATCTATATTTTGAAAAAGCTTTCCAGGTGATTCTGACGATCATCAAGTTTAACAACAGTTATTATATACTTATAGTAGAACAAAGATTTTCTTTAAAACTACCTTTGGTTAATGGTGTTACATTTGCATAGTTAGATGGAAGCATTACTCTGGCAAAATTGCCTTGCCATAGCTAATATAATTCTATATTGTAGGGGTGCAGTTAGAGAATAGGAGACTGGCATTGCAAAGTCCAGCCAGTCACACATAAAAATAAGGTCTCACGTACCAAGTAGGCAATGGAAGGATGCACTCATATTGCAACCTGAATGGACAGTGATTTTTTAAAAATTACTAATCTTGAATAATTTTAAGGGAACAAGTTTTATTTGTTTATTTATATTTTTTAGAGAGGGATGGGGGGAGACGCAGAGGGAGAGAAACCCGAAGCAGGCTCCATGCCCACTATAGAGCCCGATGCGGGCTCGAGCTCACAACCCTGAGATCGTGACCTGAGCTGAAATCAGGAGTCGGACACTTAACCGACGGAACCACCTGGGTGCCCAGAACAAGGATTTTTGTTTTTTGGGTTTTTTTTTTAAAGATTTATTTATTTATTTGAGAGAGAGAGAGAGAGAGAGAATGAGCAGGAGGGGCACAGGGACAGGGAGAGAGAGAAACTCAAGCAGACTCCGAGCCGAGCACAGAGCCCGACAGGGAGCTCTGGCCCATGACTCTGAGATCAGCGCCTGAGCCGAAACCAAGATTTGGACACTTAACCAACTGCACCCCCCAGGTGCCCCCAGAACAAGGCTTTTTTTAAACAATAAATTATAAAGTCAAGTCAACTCTTAATTATAGATACATTTGGAAGTAAGTGGTGGCATGAATTATGCATTTTTTTCTTATGAATATATCTGATATTTTGGGAATTTTTAGCATTTCACATAATGTAGCTATACTATAAAGAGTTGTTCTTAATTATTGAGTGGGATTTTATTTAATCTTTTATGCTGAATTTCTTTCTCTTAAGATGTCACCGCCCCTATTAGAAGACAGGTTTCATCCTTGGCTGACAGGCTGAATTGGGCATCAGTAGCTTCTATTTCAAGACCAGTAAGGTTGATATTGACTTGCCACACTCTCTATTCTGTTGAGTACATGAACCTGTGTGAGTTTGTACTTATTTATGTGCAATAATGATACTTAATCATTTGAATAGTGTTTTACAATTCTGGAGAAGTGTACATGTTTCATCTCATTTGAGACTTTATGTGGCAGGTTTTATTCCCATTTCAGATGTTATAACATCTAAGAGTAGTGAAGTGACTTGTCCAAGGGGTATTAATAATCCCTGTTGAAGATTAAATTTCTTTCAGCACTTTAAAGATGTTGGTCCATTCTCTTCTGGCCTCTCCTGCAACTCATGAGATGGTAGCACCCATTCTTACTCTTACTCTTTTGTGCATAATGTGTTGGGGTTTTTTTTTTTCCCTCTAGCCACTTTCAAAAGTTTTTCTTTATCTTTGGCTTTCAACTTTGGACCACTAGATATGGTTCTCTTTATATTTATCCTCCTTGGTGTTTGTTGAGTTTCTCAGATAGCTAGGCAGGTGTTTTTCACCATAATTTGTTCAAAAATTTTTTTGCTTTATTTTTACTCTTTTCCTTCCTGGACTCCAGTTACATGTATATTAGGCCATTTGATATTGTCCCACAGTCCTTGAAACTATGTTATTTTTCTTTCCTTTTTCTCTATTTTTCAGATCGCATAGTCTCTGTTGGTCTTTCAACTGCTTTTAAATCCACTGAGTGAGTTTTTCAATTCAGTACTTTTCAGTCCTAGAATTTGCATTTGATTTTCTTGTGTAGTTCGTGGTTCTCTGCTGAGATCCTGTATCTGTTCACTTATTAAGACTATATTTTTCTTTGCTTCTTTGAAATATTTATAATATCTTTTTAGCTCCTTTAAAGTCTTTGTCTGCTAAGTCCAATCTCTGAACCATCTTGGGTCCAGTTCCTATTGCCAGCTTTTTTTCTCCTGACTACAGATCACACTTCTTGTATCTTTGTATGAGTAGTGCTTTTTGACTGAACACCAGACATTGTGGATAATACATTGTAGAAGCTCTAGGTTCTTTATTTTCCTCAGCAGAATATTGTTCTTATTTCAGTGGGCAATTACTGACAGATTACATTGAACTTGCATGGGCTTGGTTTTTTGCTTTCATAGCAAGGATCTGAAGGAAGCCCAAAGTGTTGCCCAAGCTCTTCTAATTTGGTAGAACTCAGCCTTCAAATTCTGTCTCCTTTGCAGATCTTGTCAGCTCTTGGTTTTAGGTTTTGTCAGGATGAGTCTACTACCAAGCCATAGTTTTTTCTGTGGTGTCTTAGCTAGATAGTAGGGGTGCTAATGAGGTGGTAAGGCAATCTCTGCACTCTGGCAAGGTCAAACTGTAGTGTTTCCGGAATGCCTCTTCCCAAAGCACCACTAGACCTCTAGTGTATTGGTTCTATTCTCAATCCCATGGTAAGCCTCCGGTGATCTCACCCTGTGTATGTATAGCCTAGACTTCAGCTACAGATTAGTGGGGAGCCCTCACATGGATGTCTGCGGCCCAACTCTGCATCGCTGCTTCCTCTCCAATGCCCTGCTCTGCAGATTTTAGCCACTTCAATATCCTTAACCTCTGATCTCTGTCTCTCTAATTCAGTGGGACTTTGGGACTGCTTAGACCAGCCCTCTGTGACACGGCCAGGAAATGGGCTCCAGGTAGAAAACCAAGTGGCAGCATTGCACTTGCCGTTGTCCACTACCTGAAAATAGTTGCTTCATATATTTGTCCATTTTGATAGTAGTTTATGGCAGAAGTTCTAGTCTGGTACCCATCACTCCATCCTCGCTGGAACTCAGACATGGAATGTAAATAGACTTTTGACTTCAATTCTACTGTTCTGTATGCCACCCTACAGCTGGCCCTTCTAAACCATGTGTGTTATGAGTGAATACCTGTGTCCTCAGAAGTCTGTGAGTGTTTATATTTCAGTTTAACTTATAACCTGGAAGACAACCTTACTGATACAGAGCACAAGCAAACATCTGTGAACTGTGATGACTTTTAGGTTGTTTTTATCCTTTCAGATAAATCTTGGGTAGCACTAATGGATAAATTAGTCTGTTTAAAAACAGGCTAACAAGGAATGTAATAAAACTATTATATAAGCAAACACTTAGAAGAGTGCTTTCCTGCTGGTTCAATTTAATAAATATTTTCTTTGTTTCCTATAAACTTACAGACACTTCATGTCAGAAAGGAACTTAGTTTTGTCTTATTCACACTGTGAGCAGAGAGTAAGATGGACGAAATCATGTTAACTCTACTTTTGTCTTGGTATCTAGTGGCTTTTCCTTTGGCACCCACCTCACAAATCAAGGCTTCTTGTTTAGGTTGCCAAGTCTTTTAGCTATTACCAGAGATAAGAAGGAGGAGTCTAAGAAATAGAAAAATTTTAGACAATAACAGGAGCTATGGAAATACCTGAAAAAGAAGAGAAAGAGATTAAAAAAGAGATTTTTCAATTTAAAAGCAGTATAGTGTATTAAATGAGTCTTTTGAGCAAAGTTATCTAATAAAAGTAACAGTGCACAGAGTATGAAATATGAGCAGGATCAAAAAATAGTTTTCACTTTGAAAAACATCAAAAAAATAGGCAAAGAATCTGAATAATGTACAGAAAAAAGAAAAGCACTAAGCCTATGAAAAGACATTCAATTTCACTTATAATTAAAGAAACTCAAATCCAAACTGTGTGCCACACATAGGCTTGGCAAAAGTGAGGCTGTATGAGAATGCCCCATAGTGACAAAGGGGATAGAGAAATAGCTTGTCTGACACTGTGATGGGAGTGTAAACTGGCACAGTTGCTTTATAGGAAAGTTGTCGAAATCAAAGATTAAAATGCCTGTACGCTGTTATTTAGTACTTCTCCATTTAGGAATTTATCCTAAAGCATTATCTCCATAAGTGTGCAGATACGCGTGCGCGTGCGCACACACACACGCACACACAAAGTATTCATTAAAGCACTGTGTATAGTAGCAAAACCTGGAAACAATCGACTTGTCTAAGAAAATATAGAGTTGTTTAAATAAGATATAGTCACACAGTGAAATACTGAAGTCATTAAAAAGGATGAAGAAAGTGTCTATATGTACTTTCTCTCTAGAGAGAGAGTCCAAGATGTATTTTTTTAAAAGATTTTATTTTTTTAAAGTAATCTCCCCAAGTTGCACACTCTACCAACTAAAACAGTCAGGTGCCCCTGTATTTTTATGTGAAAAAAAATGCGAGGAGCTGAGCAGTATGTTTCATCTGCTTTCTTTTATGTCAATGTTTAGTGTGTAAATGGATGTACCGGTATTCTGATAGAAAATTTTTCTGGAAAGATACTAAAAAAATATTAACAATGGTTACTTCAAGGAGAGGAACTTGAGGGGCAGGGAGACAGTTTTCATTTTACATTTTTATTTATTATTTGAGTTTTTCTAACAGTGTTCATCTACTACCTTTTAACTTCAAGTGTGGTTATGTGAGAATAGGATTATGAGCCATTTAAATTTTATTCCTTATACTTTTATGTGCTTAAAAAAAATACACAAGCATGTGCATACACACATAAACACCCAGGATAAAAGAAAAAATTCTTCCAAACTGCGTATTTGCTTTATGGTGAATTTTAAGTTATTGGAATATATTAAAATTCTTTAAGTTATGCTTAAAAGGAATTCCAATTTTCCTAAAATCAGTTCTACTCTGGGATGATTTCTTTTTGCAGACCTTTTACGTATCCATAGTTGATTTATGTGAAAATGGCGGGAAACGTCCTTTCACGAATAGCAGTGCTAGTTTCACCAAAGAACAAGCAGACACCATTCGCAGAATTCGAAACAGTAAAGACAGTTGGGACATGTTGGGAGTCAAACCTGGGGCCTCAAGGTAAGCAATGCTCTAGGATATTAGTGCTGAGTTCTAGCCCGGAGAAAATCTCAGCTGTCGATATCGTAGGTCTGATATATCTTCTTGTAATTGGCTGGAAATATGAAGATGTGTGGAAATGCATTAGATTATGTAATAACTCTTCTTCAGTGAATTACCTGGATGCCAGAGAAACAAAGTAGAGGGTACAGTGGCCTGATGAAGGAACTCTGTAGTGTATGTGCATGAGTACTTTCTGGAATGGTGTGCTCTGCTTTTGTCTGTGTTGAATAGGAGCCTTGAAGCAAATGTAACCTTAAAAAAATACCTTACAAAAGAGAATTCTTAAATCATAGAATTTTAGAAGAGGAAAAGAATGTTAGCAGCTTTTCCAGACATTTCATTTTATAGGTAAGAAAACTGGAATTCAGCGAGACTAAACACATGTTCAAGGACCCTAGGAGTTAGTGGTATTATTGGTTCTTGACCTTGAACACTGTGTGTCTGCCTGGCTCTGTCTCTTTCTACGGCCCTCAGAATCCTGCTAGGTCCTCGTCTGTGTATGAACTTATGTTAAATGGTTTTATTTTTAGCCAAAAGAAATATTTGGGAGGAAGAGAAATACAATCACTATTCTTTGTTGCTTGTGCAAGAATAAATCCTCGTTCGGTGTGGTTATATAACTTTTAACAATAGAACACTTCTGTTACTGTACATATTATGATTTTTATTGTAATTATAAGTGTTCTCAGATCTTTTTATTTTGCACCATAACTTTCCTCCCCATTCTTATCCCTTTCTACTTTGTCACCTTGATTCCCACAAAAAAACAGTACGTGTTGAAATGCCTTGTTGGTACCAATGGCATTAAGTTTCTTTTTTCCATTTTGGTCTCATAGCCTATCTTGAAGCCCAGAAGGCAAGAGGGCAGGGGAAGCGGAAGACAGTTGCTGGTCACCTCGACTTGCCAGGCCTTACAGAAAAGGCTTTAAACACATGAACAGTTTGGATGATCTTGTGTATACAGCACAGTTAATTGGTGTCTTTTAAATGTCCTTTTGGATTTCCATAGTCTCATTCTAACGTCTTCTGTTTCACCTCCAAGGGAGATTGGCTCTAAAAGGAAGAAACTTTACTTATTAGTTAACTTAGAACATTGTTTATTAAGGAGAATTCCTTATTTATTTACTATGTTAATTGGAATCTATCAAAATGTACGGGACCTCCATAAGTTCTCTATCACTGACCAGTATAAACATGTGCTTCTCTTACCTCTATTTTTCTGGGTCTGATTTCGTATGGCAGTGAGCACATTAGAGCAGAACCTAAAAACAGTGTTTTAAAGTTATAAAGAGTTTTAATGTTCAGTGCCATGTTTACTGTTCTTGAATGTTAAAATCTTCATCTTCAGCAGAATTAATATATTTGTTACTTTGTTAAATGTATTTGTTAATACATTTGTTATTTTGGAGAAGAATTCTGGCAATTTGAATTTCTTCAGAGAGGGAGAATATGATTCTTGTTAGTTAATATCAAGATTATCTATGTAAAAAAGGCCAATGCATGTTTCAGAACAAGCAAATTCAGGATTTGTTTAAGAGCAGAAAGCAGAAAAAGCCTTCCCCAAACCTAGAGGACTATGAACATGGCCCTGTGACCTCAGTCTTTCCAAGTGGACACCCAAGACTTTCCATCACATGCAAGACAATCGAAAATTATCTCTCTAATTCAGAGAGCCAAATAGAAATCCTTCTGATAAAACATAAAGAAGAAAAGCTAGGGCATTTGGGAAAGCACCATATCCAGGCTTATAGGATAACTGGAGCTCTAAATTACAAAAAGAAGGTGGGAAATCAAACTGTCTGGTAAGGACAGAGCTAAATCTGACCAGAGGAGGAGCTGGGTACTTAGAAGCTTCTGGAGGCCTGACACCAGAGGATGATGAAGAGCAGGGAGAGGGGCAGGTGGTCTCCAGGCTCCTCCCCAGCCAGTCCCTGCTTGTTGAAGAGCTCAGAAGCCTAAAGACCCCTCCTGGAGCTCTCCTGCTCTTTGGGAAACACTCACTGTATTGCCCCTTTCCTCTCTGGGTAATGTTCTCTTCTCTTTTGTTTCTTCTTTGGTCTCAGGAGCTCGCTCGAGCTCTCCGGTACCCCCATCTGCAGCATCCCTTACTAGATCAGTGGTGTCACCATCTTCCCTGAGCCTCAGTGTCCCCCTGACCCTGGAACTCATTTCAGCCCCTTTTCTTCCATCCCCTTTATCTGTATATCCAGCTCATCACCTGCTTCTGCCGATTCTTTCTGTGTGTTATCTCTTAGCCACTCTTGATCCAGACTCTTGTACTCAGGCTTGGCTTCTCGTGACAAACTCCTACCCATCTCCTAACTTCAAGAAACAGCTTTCTCAGCACCTTTTTTTTTTTTTTTTTGCATGAAACACCTACTGATGTCATTGTTTATCAAATCTATTTTGTTGTTGTTGTTTTGATTTCAAGGCCCTTCTCTTACTGACCCCTGCTTCCTGGCCAACTTTGTTTTTCTTTTTTTTTCTTTTAAAGATTTTATTTATTTATTTGACAGAGAGAAAGCAAGAGAGGGAACACAAGCAGGGGGAGTGGGAGAGAGAGAAGCGGGCTTCCCGCGGAGCAGGGAGCCCAATGTGGGGCTCGATCCCAGGACCCTGGGACAATGACCTGAGCCGAAGGCAGGTGCTTAATGACTGAGCCACCCAGGAGCCCCAACTTTGTTTTTGTTACCCCCCAGCAGTGTCCTCCTGGAACTTCATGCCATGGCCATGCTGTTCCTAGTTCCTAGCCTCTGCCAGCTCTCTCCCAGTTGCTGTGTTTCCCCACTTCCTTCAGAACCCCACCCCAGAGGCCTTCCCCGATCACCCCGTGCCCTCATTGCTTCAGTCAGCAAAGATTTGCTGGGTGCCTGTTCTGTGCCAAGGACCTTTCCATGAATCATTCTTTTACCAGGCGTTTTCTTGGTGTGTCAATACTCCACATTGTATTTCTTTTTCTACTTGTTGGTAACGTATTATTTATTTGTTTATTGTTTGTGTCCGAGTCCTTTAGTCCCACTTTTGAGAAAAGGTAGTGATGATTTGGGAGATGCTTCCTGCAAGAGATGAGATGTAAGTCCAGACAGCCAAACTGCCATGGGTGGGGGCTGACCCTGTCACTGACTTAGAGCTTGGCTTCTTTCTCGTAGGGATGAAGTCAACAAAGCCTATCGGAAACTCGCCGTACTGCTTCACCCCGACAAGTGTGTGGCGCCTGGTAGTGAAGATGCCTTCAAAGCGGTTGTGAATGCCCGGACAGCCCTCCTGAAAAACATCAAGTAGGAAGTCAGAGGAAAGGACAAGTGCGGGCCTCAAGTACGAACTGACTGTCCCTAGAAGTGAAATAACCAACATGAATTTTTTTTTCCTCCACAAAAATCTTACTGCTTTTTTCTCTTGTTATTTGTAAATTAGAAATTCAGGTGCCTGTGACCAGTTCACAGACATTTTACAGAGTGGTGAAGAGAACCAAGCGCCACTTGTACGTATAGTTCATTTCCTATTTCCAAATAATCTGAATTTTGTTCCTCCTTCATTTGTGAGCTTGGTGATGGTAGCATCCCTCACGCACTTGATTCAGGACAGTCCAGGAGGTTTCTGGAGGGAGGAAGGGGCAAAGGAGGACCCTTTCCCTTTTTCTTTTCCTTTTTTAAAGTTCACTGGAGAAGGAGACAGCAGAAATAGAAGGAAACAATATCAAAACACTGAAAGTTTGGTGGGACCTCACAAGCAAGTTGCTCCTTTGACGAGTTCCTTAGGCAGTATTTGAACCATCGATCGATCTATAATTAATGAACTCTTGAGAGAGAGCCCTTTGGAAGTTTGTGAATCGCGATGATACAGTTCCAAATTGAGCAGCCCTTTGAGGACAGGTACTCTGTCCCTTCTCCAGCCACCAGGGGCAGAGACAAGTTAGTCCTAGGAGACTGAAGGCAGTGGCAGCCACGAGTTCCGGGAACACTGGCTGCTGCTGGTCTTGCCCTGGGATCTGAGGCCTCTCTTTAGCCATGGAACGGGGCTGGTGGCAGTAGGGAGCATCGTGCACCCAGGAAGCAGGAGTCAGACCCCACAACAGACGTGCTTGCAGCTCACGCGAGAGCTTGTGTACACATATCCGAGGGCAAGGCCTAAGAGCACAGCCAGCCTGGCGTGGACTGGTCTGATGCCCCAGGAGAGCCTGTGGGTGAGGCTTCTGCCTTTTCTTGTTGCTGCGTCGTTTGCCACGGAAAGGTGGGAAAGCCTGCGGCACTCCTCTATAAGCCAGGCCTCTTTTTCACTTCTCTACACGAGTTCCTTCTTTTTCCTCTTCTCTTTCTCTCTTATTTTTTTAAATATACCACATCTGTCATTTTTCTCTTCTTGAATCCCTGGCTTTTGGCCACTGCCTCTTCCATCCTCCATTACGAGCCTTGACCTTACAATCCTCCTAAGCTTACAAGCCCTCGTTGACCAGAGACGAGTATGGATCCTTTGGGTGTTGGTGGAGGGAGAGATCTTAAGGCCTGTGTGGGAAGAATCTCTAATTTTTGCTTGGGCTCTGTATTTCTAAATAGTAATATTTTTAAAAACTATAGATTATGAAAGCTAATTTCACATAGAGAAGTGCTTTCTCTTGCCATAGTTTCCTCCTCAATATCCAAGGAATGGATGAAGATCAAGTATATTAGCACTGGCCATTCTTCCAGAGCTTTCAGAACTGGTCCCACTGTTTGACCCATTATATCGTCAATCTCAGTACATTACTCATACTTTTAGCTGCGACCACCCTGCACTGATTGGGCTGTAAGGTACATAGAATGTGAATTTTAAACAGCTATCCCATATTGGTCACCAAATAGCATTCACCTTCTACCCAAGAAGAAAAGCCACTTCGGTTTAATTCCAGCCCTCTGCAGTCTTCTGGGTTCTTCTCCTCTCCAAAGCAGCTTCCCTTTGTGTGGCTGCACTTGGGCTGCATTGAGCTTGTTGTCAGGAAACCAGAGCCTTGTTTTCTTATATGACTTTTCATCTTGGTGATTCTGAAAATGCTTCTTTTTTACGAATTGAGTCTAATATGTGATTTCCTGGGGATTTTCCCCTGGACTTTTAATTTTAAATAGCTTCTGGGACTGCAAAACTCCAACCCAAAGTTCTTCTGAATTTAAATTTTGCTTAAGGCCTTCATCATGCCTAAAGTAATTAAATGTAGTTCTATTCTTGGAACAGAACTAGACTCAAATAAACGAGGGATTGTGCATGGTAGTGTCAGCCCAAATTGACATGACGGCTCACTGAGTATGTGGCCCTGTATGAAGCCTGTGCCAGTTTTCATCACTGTTACTAAAGACCAGATTGGTCACCTCATTCAGCTACATTGTGCAGATGAGTGGCTACAACAGAGTTCTTTAGTGCTTCCGTTCCTATATAGCGAGTGACTTGTTGAAATTTAGCCTGATTTTGGTTCTTAGGTCTTGGAACTCAGTTCCCAACACCTTCATTATTAATGTTAAGGATGACCATGAACTACTTCATTTATGTAAAAGAAGGAAAAGAAGAAAGTTAAGCTTCAGGGTCCTAGAATTTGTCCGAGTGCCATAATCCTTGAGTAGAATATTAAGGGATAAGAAAGCATGATTTGCAATGCAAAGTTTTTTGGTACTAACTTCATACAAAACTTTGTAGACCTTGTGCACTAAATTTATATTCTCGGTGCAAATATGTACTTTGTAGTTCAACTTTATGAAATTCCTTCAGCCAGTTAGGATTTCAAAATACATTGGCGAGAGTAACAACTAGCAGAATCATTCCACGGGCTAAAAAAAAATTTGATGGAGAATCTTGTTTTGCAGAAAAAAATAAAAAGTTTGAACAGTTCTTATAAAAGCCATTACTTCCATGTCCGAGTCATCAAGAATGAACAGTTTTAAAGCTTGTTAGAAACCCCTTGAGACATTTCTGATTGCCCATCCAACCTAGGCCCTTTAAAATACACCATCCCTTTTTCCCTCTGTTCCCCTTTGGGGCTTGTTTGGAATCGATGTTCTCAGCTGTCAACAGTTCTACTTCAGCCTTGTCATTTCGAGTCTTCCCATACCTGTGTCCTCGGCTCTCTTAGCCTGTTAACTTCAAAGTCCCAGCCTCTAGTAGTGTGCTGCCACCCAGGATAAACTGCTGTAATCCTGTAGGGGGCGCACTGTTCTTTAAGGCTACATTTACCTCAGGAAACTTAGTCTAGTGTGTTCTCGTGCACTAAATTCTCAACTGGTAAGTAATTTCTTCATACCCATAAACCAGTATCTAATTCACTGCTAGTTAAAAGAGCCATGGATAAGGCAGCTAGATTTCTGAAAGAAAGCCAGAGTAAGTAAGTAAGCAGCCCCTGTCAGCCCTGAGTCAGTACCACAGCTCCTCATAGAACAGAGACAGAATCTCGAGGGGGAGGGAGGTAGTTCAGGCCCAATTTAGAAAGGGTGGAGCCGCGTGCCGATTACCTCTGACAGTGACAGTGACAGTGATGGCGACCTTCTCAAAGGTACTTTCAGTGGGCGCTGGAATGTCACTCCCTTCCCCACCGCACTCCATCCAGCTCGCTCTGAGTCTGCCAACATTTTTGCAAAACGTGTGAAAATGAGTTTAGCTGTACAAGAGAGCTACCCATCTACCATTGCAAGGTTTGCAAAGTGAACAAAGGTTCACACTTCTCACATTTGGTATTAGCACAATTGTAAGACAGCCGGTAACGTTTGTACATTGGTTTTTCCGTTTAACGTTTCTAGAGAAGCAAAAGCTTAAATTTGTGACGTGGGGAAGTTAGATTGTGTCTAACAAGCAGTGCAATATTAGGCCGTGCCAAAAAGGCCCTGGTGTGAAGTGACTTGTTTGCAGGTTTTACGGTTTGGGTTAGTGTCCTGCATTGATTTCCCACGGGGCCTTCGTCCCCTTGGACTGTGAATGCAGAGTCTCAAAAGAAACCCTTAGCTCTTACGAGGTGATTTACATATTTACGTTCTGTTGAAATAACTGAAAATGTTAAATCTAACAGTTGTTTATGTCTTGTATAGAGAGTGTCATATGTATTTAAGTTGTGTATTTTTATAAAATAAAGCCAAAACTCAAACACCGGTATGTGGGCTGCACTTTTTTGTTGAGACACTGGTCTTTAATGTAAAACGTACTAGTCTAGAAGCAGCCCCGTCCCTTACCAACTGAGACCTTACAGAAGACCTCTTGCTTGCGTTTCCAGTTGGGAAATGGAGGAAATTTTATTCATCAGTCCATCAGGTAATTCTAACCTTATTAAGTCATGGTGCAAGTGTTTTGATCTCTTAAAGATACTAATATGATGTTTGCTTTTTTAATTCAGATGAAACTGTTACCATCCTATTTTAATAATGCAGCTCTCAGCCGAATAACTTACTAATTCAGTTAACTGGTCCCTGGAAACAAGAATCCTTAAGTAACAGATTGTTGTGAACCCCGGATTTGAAAGTGAAAGCCTTGCAGGGCCCACCCGCAGAAGGCAGTATCTCGGGAGCCTTCACACGAGGGCTGTAATTTTCATTATAAGTGATGTATGTTCTCACCTGAGAATGCACACCACTCTTTCGGGGAACTGCTCTACTCGCTCCAAACTGCTAGCATGTTTTCAAGGGGAGCTGCCAAAATCTCCTCTGAGCCACCCTTTTGCTCCCTAGCCACCCAGATTGGTCCGTGAGATGGGAATGTCACCCAGGCTGAACCAGTTGGCATCCTTGTCTGGGCTCTTTCTCATTAGAGCTGGGAAAACAAACTTCCTCTCAGGAGAGGAAGTAAGGTGGGAGAGTCCCGCTGAGGCTGGCAACCGTGATTCTAATGTCCTGGAAAACACTCTGAAAGAATGAGGCAGATGAGGCAGACATGCATAAAGAGACAGAGTCCGGATGGCAAAGACTTGCCTTCTAGTCCCTGAGGGCCCTGAGCTGGTTGTCCTTCAAGCCCCTGTGCCACCCCAGAATCCTTCCCACAGACCTCCAAGCCCTGTTTCCTGCTTGGGTTAGCTGGAGTTTGCTTTCCATTACTTGAAACTAAGAAGATATTAGAAGATAGTAGACCTCAAGGATCGTAAGCAAGGATGAGAAAGCTACGGTCGGGAGACCGGTACAACATCTGATAGGGATGTCGTTGACATTTCTGTGTTATAATATATCCGATTACTTGATGTTTCTCAGTTGGAGTCTTTGGCTATGTCTTAACCCAATAGTAGCCAGTTGTAAACTGAAAAGCAAAATTAGATTTATTCAGTTTGTTTCAGGGTCCACTTAGGA